AGGCCCGAGTAGGATTAGCCGATCTGAAGAAAGGGGGACATGGTGAACAGCAAGTGTGATGACACCACACTAAATTTGCCAAAAAAGGGCACATATTTAGATGAGTTAAATGTAACCAAGTCAAAAGTTGTGATAGTGCGGGAGTTGTATAAGTGGGTAAAGAGTTGATAATGGGCTAGGACAGAAAGAGGAGTGATAGTGTAACCGTTTTCTTTGTTTCTTTTAAGAATTGGTAGCTTTGTGGGGAGAATGGCAACACTCACTGATGATGCCAACTACGATTGCGGCGAAACTTCTGAGAATGTAATAAGTCCATGGTCTGATTCTGGGAATAATAATAACTATTATGGCAGAGGACTTCGGAGAAGGTGCGTTCTACTAAGTCGCCCTGACAACATGAACAAGTTGCGAAGAGGTCAACCCACTTCTATAAATCGAAAAGAGACTGCGACCATACCAGGAGCCACACCATCTTGGTATTTATATCTTTGAAAATCATATTTTGTTGTCTTTTTGTTGCATTGAAATGCTTTTCAGACAGATATAATTAAAAGTATGAAGACCAAGATGGTGGCCTTTTTTATGGTTGCGGTTTAGAGGTGGTTTGACTTTGTTTTAACAACTTGATCCTATTGTCAGGAAGAGATAGTGAAACGCACCTTTTCTGGATTCCATAGTATTCATGTTAAGTTCCATAGTCGGACCGTGGACTTTGTACATTACCAGACGTTTCGCCGGCATCTTCAGTGAGTCTTGCCATTCTTAGCACACGATACAGCAGACAATTGGTCAAAGGATCGACTTCACTTGTCACTTTGACGAGTCGTGCTAAAATACAAGGCTCACTGAACATGCTGGCGAGATGTCTGGTATGTACCAAGTACACGATCCGACTCTGGAAATCATCATGCATACTATGGACTCCTGACAAGGTGCGTTTCTCTAGGTCTTCCTACCAATATGAACAAGTTGCGAAAACAAGGTCAAACAACTACTAGTGTTAAGGGATTTCCTCAGGTTTGCTAGAATACGTTATTAAAGTGCTGGTTTGACCTCGTTTTCACAACTCGGTTGGAGCGACAGGGAAACCTTGTGGAACAGCCTAGTCCTACATCCTCTTACATAGTACACAAGATTATTTCCAGCATCGGACTGCTGACTTGGTACACATTCCCAGATGTTTCGTCGACGCCTGGTGATGTTTACCAAGTCCGCGGTCCAATGCTGGAAATCATCTTGTATACTATGTAAGAGAATGTAGGACTAGGCTGTTCCACATGGTCTCTCTGTCTCTCCAACCGAGTTGTGAAAACGAGGTCAAGCCAAAACTATATCGCTAAAGGAAGCTGCGACCAAACAAAATCCACGCCATCTTGGTCTTCGTTATTATAGCCCAGCCCGAATACTAACCGGATCATACAATAAAATTACCTGGAATGCGATAGGACTGACTTCGTAAGGCACAAGTCGTGACGAGGAATGCTGTTCGGTGCCACCAGGTATACTCTGCTTACGGCGATAATGCATTACTGCAGTTTGATAATTTCTAGGCCGATTAGCCTTCGCGTCTGAATATGCAACCTCAGTTTGGCTTGACAAGGCACTGGTTAAGAAGACGCTTGCAGAAGAAATTGGGATAAAGTTGGTTTCAGAACAGGGCTGATCCGTTGGGCATGAATCAGATGCATCTTTTTCTGTACTAACCCCACCGGTATGGTTCATTAAATCATTTCCGCATGTCATAAGATGAAAAAATGTCAGCTCTTCGGTAAGTAATTTAGCCAAATCCTTCATGAGGCTTCCAAGGCACTTGGAAATCCTGAAAATAATTAACGACTACTGTGAGTCAATTGCAATAAATGATTATAGCAAATCAACAATTAGTACGTAAATCTACTTCAATTTTGGCAATGGATACCAAAAGTCGTATCATTTAAAACCAACTTAGCTCGTACTATGAGAACATTTACACGAATAGTAAGGCTTCAGCCTAAACAAGTGGACAACATTTCTGTGATGGGACTAAATAACTCCTATTGGATATAGCACAATATCTCGATTTTTAGTCAAACCTGGTTTATATGGTAATACATGCTACCAGAGCTATTCTTAAATAGTTTATTGTGCTAAATTATCGCTAAAAGACTGCCTACAAGGATCACAATGGCTATACTTCTAATTAGAGATAGGGAAAAAATGGACAATAGATAGTACACGCTCTCAAACCCCTGAGGGTAAAATAAGGATCCTACGAACATAGGCTGTTTTTAAAATAGCAGTGAATTGACCTCGTCGCAACTTGGTCATGTAGTCAGGGCGACATAGTAGAACGCACCTTGTCCGAAAGCCTCTGCGATAGTCGGTATATTAAGTCCAAGCATCAGGCCATGGATTTGGTACATTCTCAGACGTATAGCCGGCATCGTAGTCGGCATCATCAGTGATTGTTATCATTCTCCGCGCCAAGCTACGAATGTGTCAGAGACTCGTCTTGCCTCTTTTACGAGTTTGTAGCTTGGTTCGGAGAATGGTACACTTAATGATGGTGCTGACTACGATGCCGGCGAAACGTCCAAAAATGTACAAAGTCCACAGTCTGATGCTAGGAATTATAACTACTACGGCAGAGGACTTCGGACAAGGTGCCTTCTAACAAGTCGCCCTAACAACAAGACCAAGTTGCGAAAACAAGGTCAACCCACATCTATACATCGAAAGGAGACTGCGACCATATCGAGGGCCACACCATCTTGGTTTTTATATATTTGTTTTTAAATAGTCTACTGGAGGCCTTACTTGTATCAAAATCAAATTGTTGCTACTAATAGAAATGATGATTCCTTGTTATACATAAAAGAGTGTAAGCACAAACCAAGTGACATGGCTGATATATTAATCGTATCTAGTCTAGACGCGTATATCAAGGATAAGGTAACAAGATGGCAAGTCCATTCACTAGGCCCTCACCTTAGTCCTTCATACGGTCTTATCTTTTCCATCATTTGATCTTCTAACTGGGAAAAAAAGAACCGGGAGAATTCATGTCGCAGACCGGGATGGTCGGCCCAATCTCTTGCAGTTGTTGTCATGAGGTTATGTCTTCCTTGTGAAGAAAATGAGTGATCCATCGAATCTAACTTGTCAAAATCTTCTGTCTCATTCTTATTTGAACATTTAGAGACTGTATCAATGACGCCAACTGTGGTAGTTGGCGTTTGAGCGCTCTGAAGTATGTATGGGCAGGCTACAGCATATTCCATATCCCATGAAGGGGAAGATTGACTTAACTCGCTGACTGAAGCTATCATCGGCCATGTTGGTCTACCAACCGCGATCTGCTTGACATGACACATAGCAGCAGCACAAATCCACCGAGCCATTCCAGGACTTAAATCGTCAGTAAGATTGGATAAACAGGAGATTGAGGAACTCACATTAATACCACCAGTAGAATCGCCTGTCTGTGGAATGGATAGAAATACCTGAGGGGAATTTTTCGGCCACTCAGAAATGTCGTTTTTTTCAAATGTATCGGTCTTGGTAAGTTGAGTAATGGGACACTCGAATTTTGAGGCATCGACGATTGGACCTTTGTGTTGGGGCTGTGAAAGAGCCAGGCGTGAAGCCATCTCTGATGCGCGCTTAAGACGTGCAGTCAGGTCGGAAAGGAGACGATTGATTTGAGCTTTAATAAAGTGTCCAAATAAACGTGTGGAAAAGATGATTGGAGGATGTGTCTGTAAAAAAAAAGTTTATGGGTTAGTTAAAATAAGAAGAGAAAGCCAATGCATATATAGATGATAACAAAAACAAGTATAGTAGATATGAAGACCAAAATTCTATGGCATCTATTTTTATCGCAGTCTCCTTTCAATGTTTTCGCAACTTGGTCGTGTTTAAGGCAGACATAGTTAGACATACCTCGTCCGAAGTCCTCTGCTATATTAGTTATGATAAATCCCATACGTTCCGCTAGATTCATCGGTGAGTCTTGTAATTCATAGCATTAGGCTACAACTCGTCAAAGAGACATATTGAGTCCATCCTTTAACCAACACTCTAACGGTTACATTATTAATCCTTCTGTCTCGGTATATATACCTAATCCACATCCTCGTGTCTCACTCCCTCACTATCACAACTTCTGATTTTTTTAAATATTTGACTCTTCTAGAGATGTGCCTTGCTAAGAATAGCAAGACTTACTTACGATGCCGACGAAGGATCTGGAAACGTACCAAGTCCACGGTACAACTACTATAGCAGAGGGCTTCGGACAAGGAGCATCGTACTAGGTCTCTCTGACAACACGACCAAATTTGAAAACGAGGTCAGACCACCTATAAACAAGTATAATTGGCAAAAACGTTAGACAGAAGCATGACAAAAGAGACTTCAGATAATTAACTCTTTGTTGCATTTTTTAATCCATAATCAGAATCTCGTTGTGAGTGCTGATGAGACCTAGGCGAAGTTAAAACTGAAATCAAGGATAAGAATAACTTTTGGGAAGCAAGATCAAGTGGACTTCAGTAATATCACGAGGCCTACTTATATCATTGTTGAGAGATGTAACAATCAATCCTTCAACCGTTTGTACAGCTCT